AAACAGGAGCCACTTAATAGCCCATAGGGATCTCTGTGGGGCTGCATATTGACTTAGAAAAGAACATACTAACATTATTTATGTTTCATTGTATTTTTATTTATTTTGTTAAATATTTCCCAATTACATTTGAATACTTGATAGTGTTGTGGGCTTCATAGGTGGGCCATGTGTTTGATCCCTCTGTTCTTGAGGATCTCATATGACATTCAGACTAAAGATGCCATTAATAGAAGCTGAGAAGTCTCAAGGAGAAGCTGGTTTAGAGTTGGAGATTTGGAACTTAGTTTTGGCCATGTTAGGTCTGAGGTATAGGTGGCATTAAGAAGCGGGATGGGGTAGCTTAAAGAACACTGGACTTAGTTTGAATCTTGGCTGATACTCTGTCCCTAGGCAAATCACTGAGCTTCAGTTCCCTCATCTGCACAATGAGGACAATAATACTGATATAGCCTACCTCATATGATCATGGATTCTCTTTCTCTCTCTCTGGATAGATATAGATATGTGTATAGATATCTATCTATCTCCATATTTACATATATATCTATTCCTATATTTACCTATATATCTCTCTATACATCTGTACCTACCTCTATATTTGTATCTATTTCTATATCTCTATCTACATATCTATTTCTGTATCTCTTTACCAATCTATCTATATTTATATCTATATCTATTCCATATCTACCTATACATCTATCTCTATCTACTTCTATCTATAATTATAACTATAGCAATCTATTTCTGTACCTATAAATCTCTATTTATATTTATATCTATTTCTATATCTATATTTATACTATCACTATTTCTAAATCTGTCTCTAGCTGTCTCTATCTATCTCTACTTCTATATCTATCGATCTAGCTATCTCTATCTATATCTATTTACATATCTATTCTATCAATTGTCTATATCTCTATATTTATCTATTTCTATATCTTTCTATATGTCTAGCCTTCTTTATATTTATATCTCTACCCATCTATTTATTTATCTATCTATCTCTAGGAAGGACTTCAAAGGCCATCCAGTCCAAATCACTTATTTTACAGACAAAGTAACTAAGGCCATGGATGTTAAAGGGCTTGCCTAAGATCACAAAGATAATAAGTGTCAGAGGTAGGATATGAACCTGGGTCCTCTGACCAGTCAGTACTCCTTTCATTCTACCTCACTGACAACAAAAGCATTTTGTAAGTCTAAAAATGATATATGAATATTAGTTACTATCATTAGTAAGATGTTTTTTCTTCACTGCATCACATTGCCTTCAAAAGACAACTGTATGCAGGGGTATTTGAAGTCACAAGAGTGAATGTGATTGTTTAAGGAAGGAAGAAATAGTAGAGAGAAAAGAAGAAGACTAATGTTGCAAAATGCCCACAATGAGAGGCCTGGACAAGGAAGAAGAGCCAATAATGATGAGAGAGTAGGAGTAATCTGAGACACTTGAAAAAAGGGTACCAGGACAGTGCAGTGTCCCAGCAACCAAATAAAGAAAGAATTCCAAGAGGGAGGGAGTAGACAACAGTGTTAAATGCTGCAGAAGGGTCAGGGATAAAGGTGACTGAGAAAAAGTCACTGGATTTGAAAGTTACTGGGGAACATGAAGAGAGCAGTTTTAGCAGAGTGATGAAACCTAGATTACAAGGAGTTAAGAAGGGAGTCTTAGACAACTGCTTCTGGGCACTGAGACTAAAAATTGAAAAGCTGGTGCATTTCTGCTTTGGTAGAGTATATTTCCTTATTAGAAAGTTCCTCATGCCAGTGAAATTACAGGTCTAGTCCCCAGATCCCCAACCTCCCAAAGAGTATGTGGGTGGTGATAAAAGGGAGGCAATGAGTGTGGGCTATTCCTTCAACAAATCTGAAAATGAAGGGAAAGAGAGTCAAGGGAATTTAAGCACAGGGTAAAGCAAAGGGGTTTTTGGTTTTTGTTATCAATGTTTTCTTGGATGGAGAGACCAGAATATTTTTGTAGTCAGAGGTGAATGAAGAAAGAGGAATTAAAGATGCAAGGGAGAGGAAAATTGATAGCAAGAAGTAGGAGAAGATGGGATCAAAATCATAGGATTTGTCTGGGAAAGGAGAAGGTTTTTTTAAAAAATTTTTCTCAGGGCTTTGGGAGAAGGATGGTAGAATGCATGGATACATCTTGAGGTAGAGACAAAGAGAATTAAATGAGGATATACTGCAGGTTTTATCTTCTAAATAAAGTAAGAGGATTGGGTGTGTGTATGTGTGTGTGTGTGTGTGTGTGTGTGTGTGTGTGTGTGTGCGCGCGTGCATGTGTGTGTGTGTGTGTAAACTTAAGGAATGGAGATGCATCAAATTAAACATGATTTTAAAATAAAAAAGCATATCTTTGTTAGAAATGCAATTAACATTACATACAGTAATGTTATTTCTGTTTAGTAGATCACCAAGTAGATAGTGCTGTGGGCAGTTTCTCTATCTCTGTTCCTGGCAAACAGAGGTTTTCACAGAGAACTATGACCATCTATGGTCTCTATTTACACTTTTTGGTCACTCACTGATATCATCCTACTTCTGTAATCCAGCATGGTTTTTTTAAAGAGCCATTTATATTGAAAGCATGCTATGGACCAAATTAGTAACAGAGACTGACATTCTACATGGGGAAAAAAAAACATTCTTGGGTAGAAACTATTTCTAAATAGTTTAATCAGCAAGGTGAAGGAGTAAATGCATGCTTGTCAAAAATAGTTTCCTAATATTTTTCACCCATCAGAGTCAAAGCAACACATGCAGAACTAAAGTTATGTCTACACCATGTGGTTCTCTATATTTTCTCTGTTCAAAACATGTGTCTGAGCAGAGAAAGTGTAAGGAAGCTGCCTCCCAAGCTGTGCAGAGTTCAGAGGGTGTAGCATATGTTGGCAGAAAAAATGGGAGTGTCCTAACTAAGCAAATCCAGGTGGGACTTGCTCAGGGGTATGCTGGTAGATGTTTAATAATGGGCCTTCAGGGGTGGGCAGAGAGGAATAAGCCTGACACACTTTTAAGTTTAATTATTATTAACATTTGCTAACATTTTCTCCGACGCTTTCTTAAGTCTGGACAACCAATGAAACAATGAATCAAGCTCTGATCTGTAGCACTGGCTGATTTTTGAGGTATAAAATTGAACAAATGTGGACCAGTTCAAGCAAGCTCTAGCACCCTTGTGGTGCTTATTCCTTTCTGCCACTCACACAAATATAGAGCCCTAATTCCAACTGGTCTAAAGAGCTTTAACTTGAGTGTTTTTGAATGGGGGTTCTACAGCGGTTAATCTATGCTAAATAAATATTACAAATTGACACTGACATAATAGTAGCTTGAAATCCACTTGAATTATTGTTACCTGAAGGATGTTATCCATATTCTCTCCAAAACAAATGGAAAAAAAAAAAGAGCACATATGGCTTTGGGTCCCCATGAAAGTGTTGCATATCCACGAGAGATCTGCTAGTGCTGGATTTAGAAGTCTGAGTGAGCTGAAATATGTGCAAAATCACACATACCTATTAAATATGCTTCAGATGCTGCTTGCATATGTTAGTTATTTTGCTAACTTCATGGATTCAATTGCTCTCTGGAGGTGGGCCCTACAGAAATGCTAGATAGAGAATCAGCAGCTTATTGATTCCTCATCTCTGCATTGATTTGACATGACTCGAAGCAAATGGTCCTATGTGCTCTAAAAATGGGGCTATCCTTTGGACTGAGAAATGGAGGAACTGTTGTAAGATAATAATAATTCGAATTGCTAGAGTAGAATATAAATCCCCAGTCTCATAAAATGACTAGAGACAGATGAATTTGTTGGGCTAACTCCATATGCTTGAGGTCAAACAAAAGTATAAATAAATTAATTCTTTCCATGCCTCTATTCCAATGGTCTGTTCACACTTTGTCCCTATTACCATTTAATCCACTAAGTTTTTATTACCCTGGGTCTATAGTAATTTAGTGAAGTAATCATTTGGCCAGAAGGTTACTCTTAACCCCTGAAATTGCCTCTCATTCTCCATTTTGTTGCCATACATATACAGCAGGGGCAGAAATCAAAGCTGAGTGCTTAATACTTTAATTCTCATCTTTGGCTGGCTAGTAGCAAGGATTCACTTTTTTTCTTTTCATGATTAAATTAACTGCTTCTGTAATGAACAACTACTCTAAAACTATGGCCAGTTCAGGGTCCACATTCCCCAGCAGACAGTCACCACTACAATAATGCCTAAATTTCATTTCTTATTAAGTTTGTTTGAAAAATATTCCACAACTGGAAATATGGATTTTAATCGTTAGCCCAAAAATAATTTTGAGTGCAGGTTTGTACAGATTATTTTCTATTTGCTACATAGTTTTAGACAATTTGTTTTAATTAACTGAGATAATTGAGTAGTTCTCTAACAAACCAACAAACCAACCAAAACTAGTACCCCTACAAATTGGAGAAGTTTATAATTTATTGAATTTGGTTCATTTTTTCTTGCTTTCTTTTCTTTCTTTTTAAAAAAAATCTATCCAGGTAGATTTGCCACTATTTAAACACTATATGGAAGGAAAACATCCATGCTGTTTAATACATTTCTAAGTAGGATTAAATCTTTGGTAACTCTAATGCAGAATTGCTCAAGCACGTATTATGTGAAAGGTCTATGTCAGACTTGTAAATTTCAGCACAAATATAAAAGAAATGGGATTTAAAATACTTCATGCTTCTTAGTCAACAGGTGAAAATGGGGAGACATTCAACACAACAGATGGCAAAGTTGTATCACCTTCTTAATTAAAAAAACTGAGTTATTTTAATCTCTTTTGTACAAATAAAGATCATAACATTTAATTTTTTTGACCCAAATTCATCTATCTGATTTGAGGAAAATGAGTTCATCTTTTAGTTACTAAGTTATTTTAACAAAACATTAATGAATCACAATGTTCCAGTTATCCTAGTTAAATTTTCAGACTGACAGTTAACCTTGTAAACCCCATGGCCTTCTGGTTGACATGTGGCTGACAAGATAAATGCTTTGGTAAGTCTAGATTTATGGCTATAATTTAATATTTCCTTTACGATTGAAAAAATCTTATAGTGTCTTAAGACTATCATTCTCTGCTAGATGTTGATCTAAATTTAAGGAATGTAGGTGATTATACTATATTTGTACTAATTACCTCACATGGAATGAGAAAGCAGCTGGGTGGCAGAATAGATTGAGTGCTGGACCTGCAGTCAAGAAGACCCAAGTCAAATTATGTCTTGGATACTTGCCAGTTGTATGACTCTGGCCACGTAACCTAAACTAACTCAGTCTTAATTTCCTCATCTAAATGAATATAATAGTACCTACTCTGTAGTGCTGTTTTAAGGATCAAGTGAGATGATATATGTGAAATACTTTAAGCCTTTAAGATATAGATATATACATGTAAATATTAATAACAATTATTATTACTATTACATGACCAGAAAATGCCCTGCTATCAGCTTGTTTATTGGTCATTCTTTCTTAACAAAAGCAAACTTAAAAAAAATTTTTGGATTAATAGTTGCATTTCATTGGGCTTTTGGAATCATTATCATTATTATCATCCACAACTGGAGTTCTACTCTGATGCTTGATTGTGTCATGGAGGTGACAACAGATGGCAAAGTTGTATCACCTTCTTAATTAAAAAACTGAGTTATTTTAATCTCTTTTGTACAAATAAAGATCATAACATTTAATTTTTTTGAATAATCTGATTTGAGGAAAATGAACATCTTTTAGTTACTAAGTTATTTTAACAAAACATTAATGAATCACATTCAAGTTTATGTTGGTAAAGTACAAGTTCTGACAGATGCTACAAAGCTGGAAAGACCTCTTGGAAGGGGAGGGCTATAATAGATTCAGGCACTAAGGGCAAATCTTCAGCATTGTTTGAAGCAGGAGGCTATGGTTCAAGTTCTAGATTTGCCACTGACTACCTGTTTGGGAAGCTAGGTGGCTCAGTGGATAGAATGCTGGGCCTGGAGTCAGGAAGACTCATCTTCCTGAGTTCAAATCTAGCCTCACTTACTAGCTGTGTGATCCTGGGCAAGTCACGTAAGCCTGTTTGCCTCCATTTCCTCATATTTGTGACCCCAAATGGAATCACAAAGAGTTGGACACAACTAAAAACTACATGGATGTGATCATAACCAGTCAGTTACAAGCTCTCTAGGCATGAGCATCCTCATCAGTAAAATAAGGGATTTGGACTCGATCACCTCTTTAAGGTCTCTTCCAAATCTATCTTTTTTTTTTTTTACCACTTTCTTTCCCCTTTCTTTGGGCTAGGCAATGGGGTTAAGTGATTTGCCCAGGGTCACACAGCTAGTAAGTGTTATGTGTCTGAGGCCGGATTTGAACGCAGGTACTCCTGACTCCAGGGCCTGTGCTCTATCCACTGCACCGCCTAGCTGCCCCCCAAATCTAAGTGTTTAATCTATTCTCAATCTTATAATTCTTTCCTTGTCCTTAACCTATGTCTTCAAAGAGCTGGGTATGATGCTTTTCAACATAAGGAACTTTAAGAGCACACATTTTGTAGCTGCAATGACACCAACATCTGGTTTGATTGAAGGCTCGAATGAATAGAATGAGAGAGGCACAGCGATATAAGAACAATACATTTGTAGTTAGCAGACACAAGTCCAATTTGATCTTTGCCACTTACTAGGTCAAGTCCTTCCCCTCCCCTCCAGATTCAGTTTCCTCATTTGTAAAGTGAGAATGTTGGATGATTTCCATTTCTATGTTCTCCAAATCACTGAAATGATAAACTATCTCACATTATACCGACATAATTGGAATAAATTGTACCTATCTCACTCCCCACAGAAGAGATTCCAATCCTTGTCTTCCCTCCTTATCCCTCCCACACCTCTCCCCCTACTCAGGTGAGGACCTCAGCTCCTTACTTTGCTAGAAAATTAAGGCCATTTTGTGTGAGCTTCCTCTTTTCCCATTCACTTTATTTTAACCTCCCTTTGACATCATTCCCCATTCTTGGATCTTTTTTCTTAAGTCTTTGACAATGAGGTAGCACTTCTTTCCAAAGTCATTCACTCTACTTGCAGATTTGATTCCGCTCTATCTTGCTTTCTTAGCACAAGGTCACATCCATCATCCTCACACCTCATTGAATCTCCAACCCCTCCCTGCCTTCTGGCTCCTTACCTATTGTCTTTAAAAACCACACCTTTATTCTTGAAAAAAACCTTTTACCATGCTCTCAAGCCATCATCTTTTATTTTTCTTCTCTGCTTCAGCCGAATTTCTAGAAAATCTTGTCTTTACAGACTGCTATAATTTCTTCTCCTTTCAGTCATTCCTCACTTCTTTATAATTAACTGAAACTATGCTCTCTAAAGTTAGCAATGATAACTCAATTGCCAAACTGGATGGTCTTTTCTCAGTTCTAATCTTTTTTTTGGCTCTCTGCTGCATTTGATACCCACTCCTTTTGGATACTCTTTATTTCCTGTTTTTTTGTGGCCTTGTTCTCTCTTGAGGCAGCTGGGTGGCACAGAGGATAAGAACAGTGGACCTGGAGTCAGGAAGACAAGTTCAAATTTGGCCTCAGGCTATCTGACTCTAGAAAGTCACCTTAAGTTAACCTGTTTGCCTCAATTTCTTCCATTATAAAATAAGGATAATAATAACTTTACCTCCTCCCTGGGTTGTTGTAAGAATCAAATAAGATGATACTTGTAAAGCACTTAGTATGATACCCAGTACATAGTAGGAGCTTAATAAAAACTTACTTCATTCCTTCTTAGTTCTCTTCATGTATGTTTGACTGATTGTTCTTTTTCTCCTTTGCCGACTCACCTTCCATATATCACACCCAGGTTCTGTTCGGGGCCCTCTTTTCTTCTCTTTACACTTTCAGATTATATGAGTTTAACTCATGACTCACCAGTTGCCTCCTGGACATTTTAAACTAAATGTCTCACAGACATCTCAAGCTCAACATGTCCAAAATTGATCGCATGCTTTTTCCTCCCACGTCATTCCTTCTTCCAAGATTCCCAATTTCTTTCAAAGATACCACTATTGTTTAGTCTCTCAGGTTTGTAAATTTGGAATTATCTTCAATTCTTCAAAATCCCTCATACCACATGACCAATCAGGTACTACATTCAATCACCAAGCATTTAAAAATGCATACTGTATCTCAGGCACTGCATTAGAAAGGAATACAAACAGAAAAAAAGGAAAAACCATTCCCATCATTAATTTTAGTTGAATTGATCAGCTGTGGTTTGTCTATAAGGAGCTTCAAGTAGAAAAGACAAGGAATTATCAGATTGAGCAGTATGGGTGAATTATTTTGACTGAAAATCAAGGTTAGAGTTATTCTTCTGAGCACCTTCTTGTGCTATGTTGATTTATTCTTGCCTTCAATGACTCCATTAGAATGAGTGTGAAGTGATATGAATACTTCATTTGCCTAGATAGTATTCATCATGTTAGCTTAACAAATCCCTTATTTACTTTTCATTACCTGTGAAGAGGAAATACCTTCTTATTCATTCAGTTATTCCATAAATAATTATTGAGCACTCTATGATGTACTCTACTAGGTGCTATAGGAGAAAGAGGAATGAGATACAGTCTTGCCCTCAAATAGCTTATTATCTAGTAAGAACTTAAGAAATTATAATATAAGACTTAAATATAATGAGTGCCATAAGAAAGTTAAAGACAAAGTGGAGTTTCAGAAATCTAAGCACAGAGCAATAACATCTGGAAGGAGTTTCAGGAAAGCCTTGATGAAGGAGGTGAAATTTGAGCTAAGCCTTGAAAGATTAGGATTTCAGAGATAGAAAATAAAGAAGGTTATTTCGGGAAAAGAAAGGATCTGAAATAGAGGCAGGGATTCAATGGATACATTTGGTGTAATGGCAAGCCATTCAAGGACAGCTAGATGGCTCAGTGGATAGAAGGGCCTGAAGTCAGGAAGATTCATCTTCCTGAGTTCAAATCTGGTCTGGGACACTTATTAGCTGTGTGACCCTGAGAAAGTCACTTAACCATGTTAGCCTCAGTTCTTTGTCTATAAAAATGAGCTAGAGAAGGAAATGGTAAACAACTACAACATCTTTTCCAAGAAAACCCCAAATGGGGTCACAAAAAGTTGGATATGACTGAAATGATTCAACAATAACAAATCATTCATTGGCTATAGCACAGGGTATGTCTTGGGGGGGAAGACTGGGAAATGAGGTTGGAAAGTTAGATTGGGAGCACAGTATGGAGGATCTGGAATGCCAAGCTAAAAAGACTCAGTCTATCAGACTGTCAAACAAACAATTATTTTATGCCTACTCTGTGCTGGGTAATCTGCATACAAAAGACAAGAAGAGTGCACATATCTCTGTCCATATGTGCACAAAGAAGATAAATGAAAATATTTATTAGGCATGGTATTGGGAACCTGGGTGACTGGAGAGATGGTGGTATACCCAACAGAAACAAAGAAGTTAGGATGAAGAGTGGGTTTGGGGAAAACAAAAATGAGTTCTCTTTTGGATCTATGGATTTTGAGATATTTATAGAGCTCACCAGCTAGATTTCATTTGGTAGGAAATCTTTAAATGGCTACTGACAGTCTTTGAGCAGGGAAGTGACATGATCCAGTGGATTTTAGGATGATGATTCTGGCAATCAGTGTACAAGGAGTATTTCAGAATAGAAGTGAAAAGTTCAGTTAGAAGACAGTAGTCTGGGTAAGAGGTTGGGGCACTGGGAATGGAAAACAGGTTGTTGTCAATTGATTGGATGTCTGAGGTAGAGGAAAGAGTCAAAAATGGTGGTTAAATTTCAAGCTCAGGTGATTGGGAGAATGGCAGTGTGATTAGCAGAAATAATGAAGTCAAGGAAAAGACATTAATGGGAAGAAAGATGAGGGGAGGGAAGGAATAACTCTGAGTTCAATTCTGAACATGTTGAATTTGACTGATGTACCAGTGGAATATTCAGGCAACAATATCAAGCCAAGA